CTTCTTTAGACATAAGTCAGGGAGTGGGCAAATTCTGGAGATAGAGATAAAGTGGGTGTACATATGTTGTGGAAGTAAAAAAAAATCAGTGAAGGTTCTTTGATGAAAAGGTGTGCATGGTCAGAGAACATAGCATGACAGCAGCGGGGCCTGTAAGGATGTGAAGCCAGGTAGTTCAAAGAACAGGTTTGGATGCCAATCCATACTTAAACACCATGGTGATATTTTAAGTGTATTATGTTAAAGGGCTTTCCTCAGCAAAATGTCAAATGGAGATAGATTAGATTTTTATAATTAATTTTTCTAGACTGTATCTTTTCAGGATGGTAGGCAGTTATTAAGATCCATGCTGTTTGAATTTGCACAGTGGATTGGAGGTCCCTAAGACCACCTCCAGGTTTAATGATTTGCTAAGAGGAGTCAGAATATAGTTGTACTTATTACAGTGAAAGGATACAAAGCAAAATTAAAGGGAAAAGCCTCGTGGGTGATGTCTAGAGGAAACAGGGTGCAAACTTGCAAGAGTCCTCCTTGCATGGTGTTATGTAGGATTAATTTATTTCTCCAGCATTGGCTTGTGATAGTACTTGTGAAATGTCTACAGTGGAAGCTTGTTAATGACCAGTTCCTAAATTTCTTACTGGGACTGGTCATGTAGGTACCATCTGCCTAACAACTACAAAGATTCCATACTCCACTTTGTACAGTTTAGGCACAGTGAACTGCTCTTAACAGTTATGGAATGGTGGCAACCCTCCCAAACTCCATGTTCCCTGACATCAGCCAAAGGCCAGTCTTGCAAGGAGTCCTTTATAAGATAAGCAGTCTCAGGCCTGCTATGTTAACTCTTTTCTGTGTACATGGTATCAGAAAACAAGGGCCTTTGGTGGTTTTTTGTTTTTTTTTTTTTCCCTTTTTCTTTAAACTCTCACCTGATACAAGAACAGCTCATCTCCAAGGCAGTTATTTGCAACAGAAAATTTAGCAGATTAAACAAAAAAATACGTGGCTATTATAACTAAAAAGGCTATCATCTACTTTGCTGTGTGTCCCGAGTCATCAAATTGGTTACAAGATGGCATTAATACCTGAGATTAGTTGGTTTGTGTTTCTTGCTTTTATTCCTGTCTCCCAAAGTGCATGAGGTCATGACTGCCAACCACACTGAGTACTAAATAGCTAGCTCTGCATCTAGTTCCCCAAGTCTTTGTGGAGTCAATATTCCCTGCCACTTGTCACCATGAAATTGACTTCTCTTTTCTTTGTGGACCCTGGTGACCTTCCTATCTTAACTTTGAACTTGGCTACATTTTAACAGTTGGTGGGGATTTTTACAGATTATCATCCTTACTCTGTGTTTGAAAGAGGAGAGGTTTCCCAAGTATTAAAGTCTAACCATATCAGTAGGATAGACATTTAAGGATGTGAATTCAGTACCACAATATCTTCTGTTTTTGTTTTTACACACTTGAACTTCTTGGATGGTGGGGTTTTTAAGGAAATTTTATAGTAAAAGTACTTTTATATTCTTTTACTTATAAGAATAATGCCTGGACATAGAAAACAAGTAAAATTGGTACAGAAAAGTCTAAAGAANAGATTAATATATATTTTTGTGTGCTTCTGGTCTTTTGAGTGTTTACATGCATAATTTAATGTGTGAAGGAATGTTCTTACTTTCTCTGACAAATATTTGCTGGCATTTTCCCATTTTTTAATTTCATTTCTTATTTTTTAATTTCTTAGTGAACATCAGTTTTACCAAAGCAGTAAATTATTGCAGTAAAACTGAAAAATTACTAATGTAATAACTTACCAGTAAGGACTTCTGATAAGATTACTCTACATTATCATATAACACAAATTCAAAATTAAGGAATAGAACTATGGAAGTCAATTTTCAAAACAAAAAATTCTCTCTTTGTTTGAATACGTGGAAAAGTTTATGAGTGGTCAAATGTCTTTGTAATTAATGTGTGTGAAACTTCTTTAGACATAAGTCAGGGAGTGGGCAAATTCTGGAGATAGAGATAAAGTGGGTGTACATATGTTGTGGAAGTAAAAAAAAATCAGTGAAGGTTCTTTGATGAAAAGGTGTGCATGGTCAGAGAACATAGCATGACAGCAGCGGGGCCTGTAAGGATGTGAAGCCAGGTAGTTCAAAGAACAGGTTTGGATGCCAATCCATACTTAAATCCATGGTGATATTTTAAGTGTATTATGTTAAAGGGCTTTCCTCAGCAAAATGTCAAATGGA